AATTGAAATTATACCATATATATATATAACAATGAAACAGTAAACAGTGATATTATAAAAATAATAATTGACATGGTGTTTTTGAAACATTTCCATTAATATTTGATGGAATCGGTCGATACTTGATGAAAATCCATAACGTATTCAAGAAACACTTTATTGTGAGATCTCACAATGGAGTGTTCTTTGAGTATAATATATTTCCTCAATAAAAATGTTTAGTCATCACAGATACGGTTCTGTAAGGTTACTGTACGAGCAGCATGGATCACAGATCCACTAGAATATTTGAAAAAGAAGATAAATTGATGGATGTAGCCGTTACTACGTGGTAGGAAATCATAATGAAGCAAACAGAATTGAAACTTCCTATATTTTTTACCTCTTTTATTTGTAACTAGCTTTACTGCAGTTTCATCCAATGAAGACATTTTCAAACTTATACATTAAATTATTGATTACATTAGCCCTTATATAACACCACTGTAGGTGGTGAAGAAGAATAGCAGAAATATTTATGGTATTTGATATTGGGAAAAGAGAAAAAATTGTTGACGGCTCAATAACCACTTTGCTGATCATGATCACTAAAGGGAGTGTAACTTTTGAGAAAATTGTTTTAATGATAAGTTATTACCAGAAAGTTCTAGCTGGAGTTATTGAAAATGGAATATACCACTGAAATTATGATAAATCATCTGATGAAAAATGATGTCCAATGTGAGAATATTCATCTTGATAATGGAAAGGAATAAATTCCACTTAAATGATTTAAATCCGTTTTTTTTGTTCAGACGATGGTCTGTTTGAGAAATGTAGGCCATCTGTAGAGAGGTTATTTTTTTCTGAAAATTCAACACGATGTATAATCATCATGGAGAGTTTATGAAAGTTGAATTCTGTAGAGACACATCTCTACAAAAAGTGAACTTCACCTCTCATGTTTAATTGAGTATGGGGTTGTTTCAAGAGGTCGGTCCGTTTAGATGTCATATGTTTTTGTAGCTCCATATCTCAATAAATATTTGTTCTAGAGAATTTTGTACTCTGTATGTTTATGCTGTTAATTTTTTTCCAAATTTTTATTTTTTGCCTCTTTTCAACTCATTACTATATGATGTTGTTGAGCGATTTTTGACCAATTTTGCTCTAGGAATTTAAATTGATGAAAAAGCCCGGACAGCCAGAAAAATTACCCAGGTATTCAGCGAAGGTAGTGTTGCGTTTCACCAAGAGCTTTTCAATTATGTTTGTAACCCTAGGGATATATGGTAGATATGCACGTTCAACCACCTGGGCCTCCTCCCCGTTTCTAACCGTGTTTCACGGCCTTGTTGATCTCGGGTACATTGTATCCATTTCATCTCAAGGTCACTTGAGAATGTTTTAGTTCTTTCTCTAGATGCTCTGGTTTACATATTCTTTGAGCCCGTTCAGTTAGAGTGAAGATGACTCCTCTCTCTTGACTAGAATGGTGGTTTGATACGGCGTGCAGGTACCTGTCCATGTGCGTGGTTTTGGTACACTTTGTGGGTTATTCTAGCATCACATCGTTCGATGAGTACATCTAGTAATGCTATCCGCTGGTCCGTTTCAGTCTCAGGATAAGGATTTGAGGACCCTGGAGGAGACTGACCCAACACATGGCGAAAGAACTAGCGAAATAGCTGGCCATAAGGTTCCATGCGGTCTTTGATGGTGTAAACATAGAAAGGTCAAGATTCTTGAAAAAGGGGTGCCCCACGATTTGAACGATCGACAGAAATTGTCACGTTTCAAAGTCTGCTTTTCTTTGCTTTTACGCAACCAAAACGATCCTTCATTTGATTGGATCGTCACGTATGATGAAAAGTAGATCTTAATGACAACAGGAGACATTCAGAACAGTCGTTGGACACCGATAAGCCACTCAGGCACTTCCAAAAGACAGAAACTCGCCATAAAAAGACCATGGGTACTGTATGGTAGTCAGCGACTGGTGTGATTGTACGGAATGTACCCAAAATTGCATCAGTAACAGCTGGCACAGACCAACAGGAAAGGTCCGATCCTGCTCTACGACAACACCTTTCCGCACGTATCACAAATCACCGTCCGAAAATTAAACGAGTTGAGCTTCGAAGTTCTGTCTCATCCACCATACTTCCTAGACCTTTTGCCAACCGACTAACATCTTTTCAAGTACGACAATAACTTTCTCAGTGGTAGAACCTTCGCCAATCCGGACAAGGCACAAACGTCCTTCGTCGACTCCTTCGAATCCCGAGCACACAATTTTTTATCTGACGGAATCATTCGAATTGTGTCACGTTGGTAGAAGTGCACAGAAGAAGTAGTTGATGAAGTAGTTTCATAGGAACGGCCAAAACTTTTGAAACAACCCAATAAATCATAATTTGAAATGATGAAGATGTTAATTATCATTACAATAACTTCTATAATTATTATTTATTGGAGAGATAAATTTTGCCAGTTGTCAAATTCAAAAACCTTGTCAATTTATATATCATCAGAAGATACTTTCTAGAATTTTATATTTTGTTACTTTGTTAATAATCGTTATCAAGCGAGGATCGTGAAGTGAATCTATGTAGTTGATAAGCAATAAAATACAATAAAATGACCAAAAAATGTTCAGTTCTTATCTAGTTTTGATGGTCAGGCATTTTTCCAACTTGTGGATTGGTTCAATTGGTTTCAACATTGATTCAGCTTAACCTCGTTCAGTCTTGTCTGTTATGAGCACCATTCACCTCTTTATCTTTCAGGTTGCTGAATTCTTAGGAATCAGTTTGAATTCTCAATCCAAAACATTCTTGATGGTAATCAGATTACATTATGGAATATGTATACCCCATTCGTGTTCAATTGGTAACCTTCAAAGTATATGGGACTACATTGAACATACTTTCAAGGCTCCCATTCATGTGAATTTTCAAGATATGATGTGTAGAGTCAAGGGCAAAGAAGTTGAACCGTACTTTTTCGATAAGTATATTATGTAAGTATAATATTGAACAAAGAGAAAGTTGATACTGCTATAAATAGAATCGAAAGGCATTGTTTTAAATGGTTTGAATCTCTCTGACATCCCAGTATGAACTGACGAATTCAATTGAAATTATACCTTCATAGAAAGTTCTGACGAGTATTTTGTAATACAATAGAAAAATCCAGATTTGAATTCAGAAATTACAGTACACTTTTCATTTGTGAATTTTTGTATTGTAGAAATACAGATCGAGCAGATTTCGTAGTGAATTTTTTATTTCAAAAATAACAACTCTTGCTAGAAATTACACATTTGAAAGTAGGACCTCGTAAGTTCTTAGCCTGCACAAGTTTCGATTTTTGAAGGTTGTCATTCGTGGGGGGCAACAACTGGTTAACGGAAAAATATATTTCGATGGACAGATTTTTTCAACAGACTTGTATCTTGATCGACTTTCTCCTTTCTTTCTTTTTTTCTGTCTTCATTTGAGAAGAAACACTTCAATGATCGAGATGAAGAGATGATTGAGAAAAATCTAGAATCATTCAAAAATGTTCAGTTATTTTTAAAATGTTTGACATGGGTAAGCGATATCGTATTGATTCACGTTGGGAATTCTTTTGTACTTATGTTATTTGTATTTCAGAAAGTATTGAAAATCATTATTGACTATGTGATTATGTGAGACAATAAGAAACATAATAAGGCATGCTGATTTTTTTCATTATCATTATTAGTGGTATTATCATTATTTGTATGCTTTTCATTGAAATTTCCTCTGCCAGTATGATTCGTGAAAAGTATTACATAGTATTATTTATTTTCAGAGCGATCTTTGTTGTATATTTTATTTTACTGGTTGTATGCACCTGGTATGATTTGACAATTCATCAGCAAAAGGATGGTGAGTATATTACTGTATAATATTATTGTGTATATTGAGAGTTTCGAAAATATTGGTCTCTTTCATTAACCTTCTTCTAACAAAGTTGCAGTGGTTTAACGAAAAGTTGGTTTTGAACTGGAATTTGTTAACATCCCTGTAATCGTCAATCACTTATGCACTTCCACAACATAGTAACAAGAACAAATGAGTGAAGCGTGTTTATGTTGACTCAGGTAGTCTGGTGTGATAATACTCGTACCTGTACCTAAATAAGGTGAATTGTCAATAACATTCGTCGACCCTTTTCCACCTGCTGTTATGCTATTTACTATTCTAGAACTTCTCAGCATCTTTTTTTCTGTTGGAATTATCTATATGTTTATCGTGTGGATCTTCATTGCCTTCCATACCAGTCGTCTATGGTATCCCTGGTTGGGAGCAATGACTTTCGTATTTTCAAACAGAATCATGCGGTTTCCTTCACTGTGTTCGTGTTCCGCCACAGCTGACTTGTCCGTTTGGCCTAGTCTGCAGCTTTTTATGCTCCTTCAGCCTTATTCCTATAGATATTTTTGTGCTTCTTATGTATACCTTTCCACATGTGCACTGTATGCAATATGCTGATTGTCTTTGTGGAACGAGAGTTTTACAATTGTGTTTGTGAACCTAGGGATATATGGAAGATACGCACGTGCAACTATGTGGGTCTCCTTCTAGTTTTGAACCCTTCCATCTCAAGATCACTTGAAGATGTTCCAGTTCTTTCTCTAGATGCTTTGGTTCACATATTCTTCGAGTACTTTCAGTTGGAATGGGGATGACTCCTCTTTTTTTACTAGGATGGTGGTTTGATAGTGCTTGCAGGTACCTATCTGTGTGCGTGGATTTTTGGTACACTTTGTGGGTTAGTCTAGCACTACATCGGTCGATGAGAACACTATCCGCTAGTCATGTTCAGTGCCCATGGTGAACTTGATGCTGAGGTGTTGATCATTCAAGTGGTCTAGGAAAAGGTTCAGAGCGTTCCTTTCATATTTTCAGATAACGAAGGTTTCATAGACGTAACGAAGCCACAAGGTCGGTTTCAATTCAAAGGTGTCGATTACTTTCTCTTCAAAACCTTCCATGAAAAAATTGGCTATCACTGAGCTAAATGTACTCCTAATTGCCACGCGTTTTCTCAAAGAATTTTTTTCTAAATTGAAGGAAACTCTCAGTGAGAGATGCTCTGAAGAGTCCGACGATATCACTCGAAAATAAATAGCCCTCTGAGTACAGTGTGATATTGGTGGAAAACGACCCAACATCGAAGCTGACTAGGCTCCAGAGTTGAGTCCCTGATTTTTCCCCCTAGAAAAAATCTGTCTTTCCCTAGGAAAGGGCGACCCTTAGAAGTTTAAAACATTTTTGGGCTGAGGATTAAGGAGGTATTACTCTCAATGTGTGATTCCTTGCGCTTTTAGCAAATATCTATATAGACCAAACTTGTAAGAGGGTTTAACCTCGAGAAGAAAATCTACCCATTTCTATTTCAAATATTCTTATATGTGATGGAATTGGCCGATACTTGATGAATATCCATAACGTATTCAAAAAACACTTCATTACATATTGGAGTATGAAAACGCTCGAGAAAGTTATGGTATAGTATAACACGTGTTTTGGTTATTTGCGATTCGTTAACTGTTCAGTGAAAATCTCACAATGTACAAATACTGAATAAATACTTTTATATCTACTCATTATTCTATTTGTTTATTTTCGTTTTTCATTTTTTGCCTTTGCCTTTGGTTTTATTGAAAAAGTTTAGTCAGGCGAATTTTGAAACAGCTCAATATTAACAAGGCGTTTGGCCCTGATGAAGTGCACGTCATGGTACTAAAAACGTGCCCAAATGAACTCGCACCAGTATTTTGCAGTGAGTCATCACCCGAAGACGATTGTGGATACCTTACAATCGAAACGTCGTGAATTAACTTGGCTTGGAATCTCTTAACTTTTTAATTTTTATTGTATTTATATTTTTTTAAATTTGTTTCATTTTTACTTGTATTTTACTTCACTAATTTTCATTTCAGGTTTTTTGCTTAATATAGTTGTTTTTTCAGCTATTCATTTTTATTCCTCTCCTTTATTTTTTTTTAATTCTTCTTTTTAGTTATTTCAGGGATTTCAAAGTATTTTATATAATATTAGACAATGGAAGTCCGAACTAACGAAATTCATCATGAAACATTGTCAATAACCTTCAAACATACACCAATATGTCTTGGCACAATCATGTCGCTGGAATTGCAAAGGCTTATTCTCAAAAGCTTGGAATACAGCTCCGAACCAGAAAACTGTATACACGTCAACAAAATAGAGGTGCAAAATACCCTGATGTAATTCAGAAATGCTGAAGATGATTTGGCCACCATTTATATAACTTACAAGGCAGAAAATATTCATCCCACCTTGATGGAAGATGGCCCCTCTGAGGCAAGGTACAACCTGTCAAAACGCGGCTGGTTTGACCTAAAGATTTTTGAGGATTGGTTTGAATCATTTATGCTACCGATTCTTCGAAAACAGGATAGTACCAAGGTCTTGATTGGGGATAAACTCAGTTCCTACTTGAGGGGTCATGTTTTGTCATTATGTCAAGCTCACAATGCCAAATTCATTGTTCTTCCGCCGCATTCGACTCATTTACTCCAACCACTGGATGTGATGTTTTTCAGGCCTCTGAAACGAAACTGTAAAACCGTTCTGAACCAATGGAAACGCACACCTGAGGGGTTGATATTACGAACAGTGCCCAAATCAATTTTTCCCAGTTCAGTGAAAAAGTTGCTTGAAACCCTGGAACCAACCCGTGTTGCCTCAATGCAAGGAGGATTCAAGGCCTGTGGGATTCACCCATTGTGTAAAAATGAAGTATTGTAAAGATTGGCTGCTCCTACATTTGAAACCGCCGATCGCGAAACTCACATTCACAATGTATCAACTGTATTTATGGATGCACTCAATTCTTGACGGCGGGAGATCATTGGTTCCAACAGACCTTCCAAGCGATCCACCTTCCAAGTTGATGTTGAGGCAGGAAAAGGGATCACATATGATGATTACGTTAGAGCCAGCAACCATAAAGAAAGTTAAAAAAATATCAAAAGCAATACGAAAAACCAAGCAATCACGGAGGAAATAGTCCGATATTGAGGCCGGTTCAGAAAAAAGTGACAATCCGGATGATATTCCATACGCGGAAAGTGAGGATAGTCTCACTTGGTGACCTCAGGACATGGACGAGAGTGAAGAAGAAATTCTGGCTGGAGAGACGAATTCACAAAATATTGCAGCAATGCCAACTGAGACCACTAATATTACAGCACAGACATAAACCTCAAGCACTGTGACTACAGTTAATGGAACCATTCAAGAAGAAGAAACAATCCCAAATGCTCCTCCAAACAATGACTGCATTCCGACCAATCAACTTGCCCTACCAAAAAAAGGGATTTTCTCGTTGTTCAATACGAAGGAAAACTCTACCCAGGAGAAATGGTGTCGAATTTTGATGTATCGGGGGAGGCTTCAGTGACAGCTGTGAAGAAAAGTGGGAAGTATTGGATGTGGCCCAACCCAGCTGATGAAATTTGGTATAAGCTTGAACAAGTTGTGAGATCCAAAGAAAATCTCTCCCAATAAATATCTCATTGACTTAAAGAAGTAAATTTTTTGTTTTTAAATAATTATACACTTTTATACAAGCTAACTGTTTCGAATGGTTTCTTTAATGAGTTTAATTACAGTTTTTATTGTGGCAACAACTTTCTCAAATGAACAATGATTCTGTGAAAAATTTATATAACTTTTCCCAATTTTCTTTTTGATGAGCAACATGTTTTTTTACAAGATTGCGTGGTGAGAATAGGACAGAAGACGTTTCTTTTCTGCTACGTAGGGAAAAAAGATGGTGTGCCATTCTCACCATCTTCCAGGGGTGAGAAGGGTACACTCTAAATCAATTCATACCCACCCTCCCCAACGTCTTAAATTTTTTGTCTCAGCTGGAATTGAAAGCTGAGAAGATGAGCAGTATTGTGTGAGAGGTTCAGCCTCCCCAACGTCTTAAAATTTTTGTCTCAGCCCGGTTGACGGTACATATTAGGAATACACGACGAACTATAGCTGTTTATCGTTTTGAGGTTCAACTCAGTACACCTCGACCTTCACTGTTTGGGAATTCTTTCATCTGGAGAACTGCGTTTATGTGGAATAAACGTCCTGAGAACGTTTACCCAAACGGATTCAATCTCCAGCGATTCAAATTCAATGTGAATTACTATTTTCGCACAGGCACAGCTCTGAGAGCGCTTTGAAGATTTTCCTGTATAAAATTCAATTGAAGGAATGAAAAAATTTTCTTTATATTCAAATTTAGTTATATTCTCATTATTGAGAGTTACATAAAAATGGTTTTTACGCAACTATTAGCTCTATTTGTTTGAAAAATTATTACAAACAAATGTATTGTTTATGAGATACTTGAACTTTTTTTGGGGGATTTTTATCAGTGATGAATATTATGATTTTTAAAAACAAAATCATATCACAAAAAAAAATATTGCTTAAAAACGCATCTGTTGGTTGACAATTTTTTTGCTACTAAATATAAATATTGAGGAATGATTTTTTTTATTCATAATTTCTCACCAATAGGTATATGAAAATTTCTTCTTTCAAACTAACTACTACTATTTTCTATATTGTTTTTTTTCTGGATTGTGATACCATTTTCTGGTGTATAGTGTTGATATTCGTCCAAATAATATTTTCAGCATACAAATTCTAGATTTTTATATTCCATCACACTATGTTAAATGTTTTATAAACCTTCTACATTCTTCTTCAGTCCCGATAATTGTTTGATGGAATATTGTAAAAGAGATTCAATTCAAGTAGAACTGTAATTTTCAAATGTTTCAATTAACATATACAATACCCTATATACGGACATTCAGAGATTCGACACGACCAGTAATGCCAAGAAATTCATGTCGAATAGTAAAAGGTTGATGAATATGAATGAGAGCTGGTGAAGTGTGTCTAAGGGTTATGAAAAATATTCTACAATTTCAAAAAGCATTCAAATTTAATTTAACAAAATGTTCACCGGATATACTTATGTTGTTACTTGTTCAATTCAAAATTCGTTTTTAATTTTGACTGTACGAATCTTAGGGTATGCTTATTAAAATTTTGACTAAAAAGTGCATTATATTTTCTGAATACATTTTGATACTATATTTTGACTGATATAGAAATATTGAAAAAAGTATGATAATAATAGCTTTATTGTCCAACAGTTACCCATTTACAGGACAATATAATAATAATCTTTATTCAGCAGCAGATACATCAGTGAAAAGAGAGAACAAAAGAGGTGCAAAATACCCTGATGTAATTCAGAAATGCTGAAGATGATTTGGCCACCATTTATATAACTTACAAGGCAGAAAATATTCATCCCACCTTGATGGAAGATGGCCCCTCTGAGGCAAGGTACAACCTGTCAAAACGCGGCTGGTTTGACCTAAAGATTTTTGAGGATTGGTTTGAATCATTTATGCTACCGATTCTTCGAAAACAGGATAGTACCAAGGTCTTGATTGGGGATAAACTCAGTTCCTACTTGAGGGGTCATGTTTTGTCATTATGTCAAGCTCACAATGCCAAATTCATTGTTCTTCCGCCGCATTCGACTCATTTACTCCAACCACTGGATGTGATGTTTTTCAGGCCTCTGAAACGAAACTGTAAAACCGTTCTGAACCAATGGAAACGCACACCTGAGGGGTTGATATTACGAACAGTGCCCAAATCAATTTTTCCCAGTTCAGTGAAAAAGTTGCTTGAAACCCTGGAACCAACCCGTGTTGCCTCAATGCAAGGAGGATTCAAGGCCTGTGGGATTCACCCATTGTGTAAAAATGAAGTATTGTAAAGATTGGCTGCTCCTACATTTGAAACCGCCGATCGCGAAACTCACATTCACAATGTATCAACTGTATTTATGGATGCACTCAATTCTTGACGGCGGGAGATCATTGGTTCCAACAGACCTTCCAAGCGATCCACCTTCCAAGTTGATGTTGAGGCAGGAAAAGGGATCACATATGATGATTACGTTAGAGCCAGCAACCATAAAGAAAGTTAAAAAAATATCAAAAGCAATACGAAAAACCAAGCAATCACGGAGGAAATAGTCCGATATTGAGGCCGGTTCAGAAAAAAGTGACAATCCGGATGATATTCCATACGCGGAAAGTGAGGATAGTCTCACTTGGTGACCTCAGGACATGGACGAGAGTGAAGAAGAAATTCTGGCTGGAGAGACGAATTCACAAAATATTGCAGCAATGCCAACTGAGACCACTAATATTACAGCACAGACATAAACCTCAAGCACTGTGACTACAGTTAATGGAACCATTCAAGAAGAAGAAACAATCCCAAATGCTCCTCCAAACAATGACTGCATTCCGACCAATCAACTTGCCCTACCAAAAAAAGGGATTTTCTCGTTGTTCAATACGAAGGAAAACTCTACCCAGGAGAAATGGTGTCGAATTTTGATGTATCGGGGGAGGCTTCAGTGACAGCTGTGAAGAAAAGTGGGAAGTATTGGATGTGGCCCAACCCAGCTGATGAAATTTGGTATAAGCTTGAACAAGTTGTGAGATCCAAAGAAAATCTCTCCCAATAAATATCTCATTGACTTAAAGAAGTAAATTTTTTGTTTTTAAATAATTATACACTTTTATACAAGCTAACTGTTTCGAATGGTTTCTTTAATGAGTTTAATTACAGTTTTTATTGTGGCAACAACTTTCTCAAATGAACAATGATTCTGTGAAAAATTTATATAACTTTTCCCAATTTTCTTTTTGATGAGCAACATGTTTTTTTACAAGATTGCGTGGTGAGAATAGGACAGAAGACGTTTCTTTTCTGCTACGTAGGGAAAAAAGATGGTGTGCCATTCTCACCATCTTCCAGGGGTGAGAAGGGTACACTCTAAATCAATTCATACCCACCCTCCCCAACGTCTTAAATTTTTTGTCTCAGCTGGAATTGAAAGCTGAGAAGATGAGCAGTATTGTGTGAGAGGTTCAGCCTCCCCAACGTCTTAAAATTTTTGTCTCAGCCCGGTTGACGGTACATATTAGGAATACACGACGAACTATAGCTGTTTATCGTTTTGAGGTTCAACTCAGTACACCTCGACCTTCACTGTTTGGGAATTCTTTCATCTGGAGAACTGCGTTTATGTGGAATAAACGTCCTGAGAACGTTTACCCAAACGGATTCAATCTCCAGCGATTCAAATTCAATGTGAATTACTATTTTCGCACAGGCACAGCTCTGAGAGCGCTTTGAAGATTTTCCTGTATATTGTTTTCTACATGTCAGATAGGATTGCATCAGCTGACAGGCAGTATTCGAAAAACCAAAACTCATCAGTTTATTGAGCAAGATACCATGATCAATTTTATCAAATGCTTTAGAGGAATCCGTGTATATAACATCAACTTGGCCATTGTTATCTAATGCCTCGGAAATAAATTGAGTAATAATGACTACTTTTGATAATTCATAATCATAATATTATCATTCCTATACAATTATTTCAAAAAACTGCGTTTGATTTTTTTCAGAGAACACGGATAATTATATAGTGGCATTTTCACTGTACACAAATGCAAAGAAATTGTTCACTTCGAAATCTGGCTCTCAGGATGAATCTGTGAATAACTTGAAGTCAATAAATGGTATTAAAGTTCTTTCCATGCTTTGGGTTATAATGGGACACCGCTGCATTATGAATTTTTTCTCTGGAGCTACGAACACTGTATATGCACATCAGGTATGCTATAGATTTTTGATTTCAAGTTGATAAACTACTATGTCTGACATCACTGAAGCAGGAACATTTCTCACTACCTTACCTTATAAGTCTTCCTGACCGGTTCAGAGGATTTTGTTTCTGTGAATGTGGTGATTGAATGTTGATAGACTTTGAATGATAGTTCTCTGAGATCAATAGTGTCAGTTCAATCAGATCTCTTTCTCAAAACTTTCAAAATATCTTCTTCACATTTTCAATATCTATCTGTCGAAAGAAATCTTTACATTTTCAAACAACGTATTTTCCACAAAAAGTACTTATTTTGAAAAGGAAAAGAAGCTGTTTTCCGAAACGTCAGCCATTGTGAAGGAAGATGAGTATATTCATTATCTATTCGTCAAATTAGCAGATAATTATTCGCTTCAGTGTTTATATTACACAGTACCGTTACATCGAGCAAACTTTATGATGATCTGGATGTATTCATTTTTCAGACTTTAAAAAATACTCCATAATTTTTATTGAGAATATATCTGTCTGACTCTACCCATTTTTTTCTCCTGCGCCATTACAAGATGTAGAAATAGAATAGATTCAGCAGTGTCTCTAATACGAGACACCGGTGTTGCCCTACGCTCCAGCTGATATTGAATCCGTTGTGGGGATCGAGAAGACACGATTTTTTCGGAAATATTCTTCCTCATCCTCAGGGTCAAACAATCTGATGAGACTGATGTAGTCCTTCTCGACCACCAGAGCAAGACTATATTTGTAGTGGATTTTTCAGCTTCTGGCTAGGCGAATATCGCCAGAAAAGAGGGGGATGAACGAAAAAATTTCGAGATTTTTTCTTCAAACTCCAAAGGTTCTATCCAGAGCCTATATCCTATATAACCTCTTCACTCTCAAGTCTCAAGATCATACCATCTTCTGTTCAAATTGATGATGATTTTGAAAGATGATTTAGAGTTCTGAAAATTGTACGGACATTCAATTTTGGATCGATTCGTCTTATCTTCTCAGAGAAACCATAGGATAAAATTATCATAACAGAAGAAATTTGCTGTTTTTGTGTATGTTCTGGTAATTTTCATAGTTGTTGGTGTTGTGATAATAGTTGTGATAGCTGTTTGGTTTGATTTTCAATATTTAGAATTATCCTGTTAGAGATAAGAATATTTTTGATTAATTTCGTTTTAAAAATTTGGTGTCCTTCCTATCATATATCACCACAATACCAGAATGAAGTTTTTTCCCTTTGAAATGTCAATTGAAATTATTTTAGCTTACTCCACTTCAAACTCTTTCAATAGATTATTGGTTTTGATTTCAGCTGAAAGAACGAATAGAATTTTTATTCATAATCAGTGCATCCTACGCTGTAGATACATTTTTGTTCCTGAGTGGGTTTCTCTTGTCCTACGGTATATTCAAAAATCAGGAGTTGCTGAAAAAAAGGAAGCAATTTCCAGTAATTCCTATGTATATCTATAGATTTCTGAGGTATGTTGATTTTTTTTACAGTCGTAATAATTTTAAAAGAAACTATTTTTTCAGAAGAGAATAGTTTTTGAAAATAAATACTCAACAGAAAAAACTCATACTTCAAAACATATGCAGATTATATTTCACGAAAATTAATTTTTCTATTCAATTTGTACTTCAAACACTCGTGGAACGCTATACAACCTTATGTGTGAAAGAGTAATGAGACAAAATTTCAGTTATATGCAAAATTTTCATTCTTAGGTATTTTTTTGAAAATTTCAGCCGAAAACACTTCATGTCTTAATCAGCAGTGTTATTATGTTCATATGTTTGAGAGTAGTTGTTATGAATGTGTTTTTCCTGTTTTTATGAGAAAGAATATTTTGTGAATAAAACACATATATTATTGTGAAGTTTTTCAAGTTGTATTGCATTATTCTTTTTTTTGAAAATTTTCTTGATTTTTTGTTTGAATATGGAAAAATAGAAACCCAAAAAGCCTTTTCCCAGAAAAAAGCGATGGAAATGAGTGATAGATTGATGTTGGACTCGAACGAAATCTTTTTGTTGCAGCATTTTTGGTTACCTTTGAAATAGTTGTCAAGATATTTGTTTTGTATAGAACGTTCCAAACAGTATTTCATATATGACTTGACATATTTCTAATTGGCTTGATTATTTATCAACAAAAGTGAAAATTAATTCTAAAAATCGAAATAAAACTTTTCATGGAACCCATATGATTTCAAAAATTGAGCTATGCCACTATAATATATGCAATATTCTATAAATTTTACTATTTTCATACCTCCAACGAATACTTTGATAGGTAGATCAAGTCTTGGACTACCTATCCATTCTCTTCATCAAATGTGGATTATAAATAACGTTCAATTGCCAATAATTTGTTTGATTCATAATTGTACTGGGTATGTTCAAATTATTACTTATCCTCCTCTCATTGATGATGGGTTAATTTCAATATCCATCACATTGTTCATAAGGCTTTTATTTTCTTGAATTCCTGTTTTTCTCGAAGTGAATTCTATATTGTTTCAAATTGTAGGTTATCTCCGGCTCTCATCGCCACAATTTTATTCTATGTGAGTGTTTTCAAGAAGATGAACGACGGACCGGGATGGCCATTATATTCCAGAAAATTAGCTGGCAGTTGCGCATTGAATTGGTGGGCTACGTTATTATTCATATCAAATTATTTGGACATTTCTCATCAGGTGAATGATAAAAATCCAGATTTTCATTATCTATCTATTTTTTGATTAAAATTTCAATCCAATTACTACTACTTAGTGGCTGATCTTTTTGGAGAGAATTTCATCATTTTCAAAATGGCTGAGGGCAACTGAAGATTATTTTTGAAGTGTGAGTTGCCGACTGGTAAAAGTCAGTATTATAGATAGATAGATTCATTTGACTGATTTACAAGAAGTTTACAGCACGTCATACATAGAAAATAATCGTAAAGAAATGATACAAATTTTTCATTACTTTACTATTTAAAAGAAGGCCGCAATATAACATCACGTACACATTAAAATATGTTCACAAATGTCAATATGCAAGTGAATGATTATCTCTTAATATATTAATAATCAATAGATATTGATTGTTTGAAAATTCATCAATACTATGAAAACAATGGTTTAAAAGTATATCTCTAATATCTCTTTTGAATTTATTATTATTCAGTGAACGCATCTCTGAAGTCAACTCGTTGTTAGTTTGAAATTTATGGAGTTCGTTTTGGATTTGGTTGAAAGAAATTGCGGCAATGCCATTTGATCCACAGATCTAGTATCATAAGTGTGAATGTCGGCGGTTAAAGGATAGTTTTTGTTATGTTCGTGTATTTCACAGACCGTTTGGAAAATGTCAATACATGGAAGCGTCATTATTCTCAGTTTAACAAATAAGTCACGGCAGTGCTCTTTAGTATCTATGGGGTCTTTCACCCCGTGTGATCACCTGAATTCACACTAAAATAATAAGACCTATGTTAACGTAAGGAACCATTGCATGGAGACCGAAATTATGTTCTACAAGCAACGGTCATTCAAAAATTATATCAAATTCAACTGACAGGCTTGTTTGAACATCACAGAAGCCATGAGAACAACACCAATCGCGGCAATGGAATTAGTTACTGGGCTGACCCCTCTGGACCTGTGCATTAAGGAGGTTGCGTTTATGACCATGTTACAAAGGCTGGTGTAAACCTCGAAGTAGGAATGGGTCAATTGAGGTTGAGCCTATGGCGAGAAGCGCTTACTGCGCAACCTCTGATGCAGGCAACCAGTGATGCAATTGAACCCAGGTTTGTGTTTAATAAACTCTACGAAATACAAATAAAACAGAACACTGTGTCAGATGCTACAAATGCAATGCACATATATACAGACGGCTTAAAAACCAAAGAAGGCTCAGGATGTGGAGTGTACTCCAGATCACTGAGCCTAAGGATAAACTTGTGAATGGGAAAAAATACTAGCGTGGTCCAAACAGAACTGGCTGGTATCTCAATCGCCACAAAAGAAATAACCAGGGAAGGAATTTCTGGCAGAAACATAACAATCTGCACTGATAGCAGACAAGCCCTATCAGCCTTGAACAGACAATGTGTTACCTCAGAGCTAGTACTAGAGTTCCACCAAGATTTAGCCAAAGACTCAGTAGAAAATAACATTATCCTGAGGTGGGTTGAAGGGCACGACAGGAATAAAGGCAATCGCATTGCCGCCTCTAGCCAAGGAAGCGGCTGGACTGAGAATTTCAGGTCCCAGTGATGACTTCGACAATTGTGGAACTTGCCAAACGTCACACCCATGCTCAATCCCTAAAGAGATGGTATGAAATCAGAGCATGCAATCTTGGCAGGATCACCCTGGGCGACCCTGGGAAGTTGGCGCCGAAGAAATATCTGGCGATGACCAGGAAAAATCTACCCTTAACAATAGGATTTCTGACTGGCCTCTGTCAACTAAGAAAACAACTCCACAATATGGGGCTAGTGGACACACCTCTATGCAGAATGTGTGAACAGGAAGATGAAACTGTCAGACATATCCTATGCGAATGTCCAAAGTTATCGTCAATGATAAAGTGTGTGTTCGGCGAGTCTTGGCTTACAGCTACCGACATAAAGGATATATATCCCAGATACCTGTCCACTTTCCTGGAAAGGACAGGATGGACGATGACCTAAGAGGATAACTTCTTGGGGGGATGTACAATGGGTCACATGTGGCCTAAGTGCTGTGGGCCTACACTTACCCTCCCTATTCTACAGATACAGATAGACGTTTATATACATTTTCTATATGCATTCACCAATTAAGGGAGCTATCGATTGCAATACCGAGAAGTTTGCGATGTTCACCTGTTGTGTAGTTGTTGTTACTTGAAATGAATGATTTTTGAGTTTTCTGATCATTTAATGACATGAAGTTGGCGGTAATCCAATTTTTTGCATTGCGAATGGATTCATCAGCCATTTTTAATAGAGTAGGTGAATTTGAAGAGTTGTTGATAAAAGAGTGTATTGTCAGCATAAAAAATAGATTTTCCCAAAAAATTAATCACTCCTAAAAATATAACCCTTTCAAATCAAATATTGATAGTAATGCTGACATATATCATTTACGTATATGATAAAAGGTCCAAGTACCGAGCCATGAGTAACTCCATATTTGGTGATTCGAAGATCTTAAATATGTGTACTTGTTGTTATCTATTAGTTAGATAGGATGAGTGAGGTACACTTCGAATACCTTAACACTTTAACTTAAGCAACAGAAGGTCATGTGAGACACAGTCGAACGTCTTGGGACAAATCACACATAGTGATAATTTCATGTTTCTTGATCTCAAAACCCTCGACAATGTCCCCAATGATCCTCAGTAAAGCCCTAATTGTTTATTTGCTCTTTCGAAAACCATACTGGGTGTTTGATATAAACTTATTTTTTTTCGAAATAATCTATCAGAATATCTTTCAATAATATCTCCACTATTTTTGAGAAAATATTCATGATTGAAATTGATCGAAAGTTCCTTAGAATGTGGGATTAAACATTTAACTTTACTTTACTAGCATCTTCGTCCATGTAGCTGAATAGGGCGTGAATCAATGAAGGTCAAAATAAAACACTACTTCGAAGTCGCCTTGTCTGCGTCAAGTCAAGGTCATTCAACGTCAAACTCGAAACACTTTCTCAAAATCATCTTGAATACATCGTGCGACGTAGGTGAAGGTCATTTCAAGATTAAAAGTGGTGTATGAGGTTCCGAAATCAGCTTAAACCAACTACTTTCATTAGGCAACTTGGTTCGAAATGAGTTTTCAGTTTTTTGTAATTTTTCAACACTCATCATCGAAAATGGAGTTTATTCGTGACTAGACTTTTTGTTTGTCAATGTGTTTTTGAAGAATAATCCGGAACAGTTTCAGCAACAATTTTTCATAAATGTTGTCAGCATAACATTTTTGAGAGTTATTAGTAAACAACTGGCATCACGACTGAACAAACGAATCTAATGCGTTGTTTGAGTGAAATATTTTCAGAGATATACCGAATTGGATTTTTCCTAGAGGTTTCAAACTAGACCACTGAAGTATTATCGATATTATTCGAGTCCCTGTCAAATTACATCATCGAGGTTTGAATATTAATTCAGTATATCAAAAACACAGCCAATACCGAATATTGCAAATTTGATTATCAATGATGTTCTCGCCAAGAGAAGTCGAAACAAGACGAAATGAGACGAGACAGAAGAATATCATCTCTTGTCGAAAGAAGCTGTATTCTTGCCAAGACGAGATACAAATTTCCCTTGATAGATCGAGACAAGTCGAGAGAAAGTATTTTCTTTTCTTGTCTCTACGAAAGGAAATACTTTTTCCAATGAAACAGTTTGGATAATTGTAAAGTTACGGGACAATGAATAATCGTTTTGTTGCGATTGGAAATTATAATATTCAAGTCAAGAGACACAGAGGCAGCAGCTATGAATGCAATTTTAAAGAACTGAACTGAAACTGACAGTGATAAAAAAGTATGAAATGTTAACCTCAGAACTAAAAAAATTTGGTATATCGTTAATTGGTTGGTAATTATATATGTGATAGAGAGCAATATGTTTTCAACGCAAAACGATACGATACTATACAATACATTACAACGCAATACAACACAATACAATTCAATACAATACAATATATACAATACAATACAATACAATTAAAAACAATACAAAAACAGTACAATACAATATAGTCTTACAACTATAATTGACTAACACAACTAACTATAGTCAACTAACGCGTTTTGCTTACCAAGTTAGCGTCATCAGGAGATGGGTAGTCTCAGTCTCCCACTTCACGCCAGAAGTTCCATAATCTACTTCATCATATTCTGACAACGATTGCACTTGGCTTTATTCGATTGAAGGCACATAGACCTTGACGGAAATTTTATTTTGAATAGTCATTATTTCGAATTGTGTACACTTGTTTTTCATTCTTGTTCGGGTCCTCATTTAAATCATAATTATAGTTTGGCTCTGAGAGATATAACTGGTTTGCATTTCAATTGTTTGCTCTGAATGGAACTTCAAAACGACAGTTGCAGGAATATGTTTCAAATGATTTTCCATATAGTTTTTTGTGTAACAGGCAGAATAACTTGAAAATATAGAATGGTCGTTTAGGTTTTTGTAAGGTCCTGCAGTTGAGAAGCGTATCGCCATCTGAAAAATGACGCACTGGTTCACTCAAGTTGTTCTTTTCTATTTCGAGGTTAACAATACCAAATTTTTGACTTTTATAGATAAATTCTTGATATCTCATGGAATTTTTCCACTGATTCTATTAGATCTGTGACGAACTTCGAACTGAGAAAATGAACTGAGAATGACAACATTATCCTGTTTTTATTTCAGTCAATAGATCTATTTCGATGGTCATTTGTGAAACCCTCTAGATTGTGTTGAAGCCGCTGGAGGGAGCGCGGGTTATTGTCGCCTACTTGTCCGGCACAGCACGGAGCTGTCCGTCGCCTGATGACGACAGGTAGTAGCATTGCCCACTCGTCCAGCTACAACCAGCATACTGAGGGTGCTGTTTGTTCAATGTCAAGGGAATTTCAATTGACAACGAGCGGTGACAGAAACATGTCTATCACTAGCAGTTCGGACGAAGAAATCGTCATTGTAG